GAAGGAATGGGCTGTTCTTGTTAAACATCAGAATAGGCTTGTGCTTCTCTACCTCACCACAAACTCCAATTCTTAAGACTTAGTAGAGGTTTAAGTGGAATCATAGTGAAGTGGAAAGCTATTAGTTGCTCTTGAAATCCAGAAATGGTTGTGAAGGAGTTCAGAATAAAGAAATTCAACAGGTTTGTGTTCTTTTAAGCAGAAGGTTCTTACCACATTTAACAAGGTTTTTTTTTCAGATTTTGAATATTCTCTCAGATTCATAGAGTTGCTTAATTGGTCCAAAAGTTTTTCCTTTGACTGCCTTATAAGCACCTATTTCACTGTTTATTTGAAAAGTTATGGGTATTTCTTTGTTTATTTACTCTGTGCATTTTTGCGTTCTTGCAGTGGACGATACAGTGGTTGCCATTCCTTATGGAAGCAGGCAGATTCGCCTCGTTCTGAAAGGACCTGATCATTTATGTAAGTAGAAAAAGTTAGTGTACATTTGTTTAAGAAAGCCTTGCTAACCCACAGTGCTCTGTTTACACAGTGGTGTCTGGTTTCCCTCTCTCAGATTACTGATTTCAACACAGGGATGAGTCCTACCCTCAGAAGCTCTCCTCAGACCCAGTTACATCAGTGGTACATGGTCTTTTCAGAGTACAGCTTGGCCAAAATTGCAGAATCCTTTGCTCCTCCATAATTTTTCAGTCATTTCTGTTTGCTTATCCTTTGGGTGGCTCACTTGTTGCCAAGTGCTTTTGTTTAAAATTAATAAAATATATCCCACTGAGTGAAGAAATATTGAGGACAGTGAAATATAAGCTTACCTACAGCTGAGCTTAGCTATCAAGCTGCTCATGACTTCAGCGCATGTTTTTGTAGTGATAATCTCTCTCACTCCCATAGATGCACACACACACAAAATCACAATCTAAAGATCAGAAACAGCACGCACAAGTCAAAACATACTCTTTAGTAGTGATATTACTCCAAGGTGTTAAGCTCACTGAGAGCAGCTAGTCCATCACTTGGTGGCTGTAACACTTCCCTGCTTTGTCTGACAGGGAGTTGTATATCCCAGCAGCTGTGTATCCCTCTTCTCTGGGAGAGGAGTTGGAATTTGAGAATATGGTGGCAGAGCTGAAGGCAAATACATTTCTTTCATGAATAGAAACTCCTTGCATACATCTCTCTCTTACCTTTCAGTGCAGTAACTACTAAAAAGTTGCTCCTTTTTCATCAGCAGCAAATGAACACGGGAGTGCTGGTAAATGGGATTTACTGTCAGAAAAAAGACACAAACTGTACTCCATAACCTCTTATAAGCACAAATTATTGTAAGATAAGTAGGTCTTCCCTTCTCCTTTTCCAAAAGGTAATAGGACTTTCCTGAAGCATGGACCAGTTAGAGTCCTCCATGCTTGTTAGTGTAAATGCAAACATTAGTGGCAGCAAGGAGGTGAAACATCAAATCGTTCCCACTATCTGCAGATTTCTTTGCCCAAAGAACTTATACTGAGTGGCAAAATAAAGGGTGGTTTATCTCCTGTTCTGTAGCTCAATGCTTGTGTTGAGAAAGCAGTGGGCATGCCATAACCTTTTAATGGTTCTTCAGATTTAAAGCTGTGAATAAAGACCAGCAAATTACAGGTTATAAACTAAGAAAAAATATATTCTGTTTTTCTTAAAAGTTCAAGTGCTGCCTGTACTTCAGTTTTAAGTGGCCCTTCAGGTATTCCTGAACTGCTCCAGTGTGGCTGTTATTACTTTCCCAGTAAATGATTTGCACTCTTCCTTTCTCTCCTGTCTTCTTTCCCAGAAAGATGTTCTTTTCCAAGGTAGAAAAATTTCATACTTTTATTATTTTTTCGGTGACATTGAGCTATAGAGACCAACATAGAGAGAAATGAGATTCTATCAGGAGAGATTGATCTAAAGCTGTCTTTACTCAGGCCATATCACATTTCAGGACAAAAAAATTTGAATCAGTGAGATCTGCCTGAGACACTTGTTGAGATTTAGATTAACTGCTCTGTGTAAACATTAATAAGTCCAAATACACCTCTTTCTTATTTCAGATGTCTCTGTGAATCTTTCTGTTCACCCATCAAAGGATTTTTATATATGTATGAGCTGCAGTCAGTTGCGGGGGAGGGAGTATTTTGCCCTGTGAACTTTGGTTGTGGGAGAAGTCAACAGGAGACTGATTATATATACACAAGTCTTAAAACCATCTTTATCCCTGATGCATGCAGCCTTGTCCGGAAACAAATATATAGCCAAGTGCATCACAAAGGAAGAGACTAGTCTCACTGAAGACCAAGGAATTCATTAATACAGAGCAAATTCTTAGTTTACTGCCTCAGCAACTTCATGAATTAATTCGCGTGACCCATCCAGAAAAGTAGTCTAATTACTGCAATTTTTTTTTTTTTTTGCGTAGTTAACAACTTAATACATGGTACTAAAAGAATTTATCCCATTTACTGTCTCTGAAAATATAATTTAATCAGATATTAATGGTATGTCCCCATCTAATTCAGATTTTGCCTTAGCTGCCTCTCTGTTTGAGAGAAGATTTTGCGCATAATTTCACAAACTCATGTGAAAGGATCGCAGCTTTGCAATCCTCCGTGATGAAATGCATTGTCACTTTGAAATAACTACAAGAAACATTTAATGGTGAATGTGCGGTAAAGTATAACGTAGAGTTCGTGGGGAGGCTAGATAGATGATGGCAGATCTACTTTCTGACTGTTGATTTCCATTTAATAAGTGATTTAATATGTTTATTGTGAGTTAAAAAAAATCAGAGATAACTGCTACCAAACAGTGTCTGAATTAATGCCCACTTTTTGGGAGCTGTGAATGCAGAGAGTGCCAGAGGAAGAGCTCAGGAGGGTCCAGCACTCGCTTTCCCTTCCTACTCCCCTGGGATGGATCAGACCACTTGTGGAGAGGAGGCAGGGTTGCTGTCGTACTGATCTTTCTTTCCTGGACATCTTGCTTTCAGTTTATTGTCTACCACAGGAACATGTGGTTAGTGACCCACCTGTGAACTGAAAGAGGAAACAGCAACTTAACAAAGCCAGCACTCATGGGGAAAGGTCTGAGTCATGTTCCGCATAGGAGTGTGACTTACTGAGAGTGTGTTAAATGACAGCAAATATGCCTAACTAGGAACGGATTAGTATGTCTGGAAGAGAATAAAAACATGACCCATGGGTGAGGAGGTGAACATGGAGCTAGAAATCTAAGGGTTGAACAAAGCCAAAAAGCAGATGGAGGAGAAAAAAGAAAAGGAATGTATAGGAATGTGAATAAACTGTGGAAAAGAATAAAAAAGCTGTATTACCACTAATATAGGAGGCAAATCTGCTCCACCACTCTTTTGTGTTGCTTTTTCTGCTCTCACTTACTCTTACTTCAAATTATAATGCTCTATGTTCCTATTAATTTGTTTGTATTTGTCAGATTTGGAAACTAAGACTCTCCAAGGTGTGAAGAGTGAAAACAGCCTCAGCTCCACAGGCTCCTTCCTCGTGGACAATTCTAGCATTGACTTCCAGAAGTTTCCTGACAAGGAGATATTAAGAATATCTGGGCCTCTCACTGCAGACTTCACTATCAAGGTGAGGGTCATTGGTCATTGATCTCTTACAACAACATAAAGTAAGACGATGCATTAGACAGATGAGAGAGGTTTTCCTAGATTTTAGTTTTCCTGTAGGCATTTACCACGAAGCCTAGTCCAGGCTAGCTCTTGAACTCTACATGAAATTCTTTGCAGTTAAAGATCTGATGAAAGCCTCATTGGACCCTCCTTGGGACAGAGACTGAGTTTGTGCCAAGAACAGCACGCCCAAGGTGTGCGCTAAAGAGAAAAGATGAACTCATAACACGAAAAGGCAGATTACTTTCTGTATGTGCTGCTGAGGTATATATAAATCAAGGACATGCATCTTGCTTTGTCTGTGACAAGCAAAAAGGAAGAAAATCTGTATGTTTGGCTCATAATTTGTGGGGTTTATACTAGTGTAATTGTACAGAAGACTCTAAGGGGGTGGAGAATGAGGTCCCCAAGCTCTAAAATAAATGGGATGATTTTGCTTGAGAAGTCACGGTGTCATTTTGAAGTTCTGCTTTGTGTTTCACTGACAAGAAGAATAAAATTGTTTCCTCCCATTAGAGCATTTCTGTTCTTCCAGGTAATATAAAACATATTGCTGGAAGCAATGCACACATTCTGTAGGAAAACACACATACAAAAATGAACATTTGGGAGTTACAATAAAATAAATCCTTTTCCAGTAAGTCCAAGGAACTTGAAGGATTCAGCCGTAAAACTGTAAAACCTGTATCATGTCCAGGACTACATAAATTTTTCATCATGGGCCCCGGAGGTAGATGACATTTGCTTTAGCGTAGAGCTGGTGGTAGCTGAAAGTTTGAACAGTGAACTGGAAAATGCAATAAACTATTGGGTTGGATTACGCTGGGCTGGAATGGGTTAGCTCAGGAAGTAGCAGAGCCCTGTAGACAGTCAGCTACCCATCTTGGTATGTTAGCAGCACAAAAAGAAAGCTGAAATTGTCAGGGCTGGTTCACAAGGAGAAGCCTGACCTGAAGAATGCATTCCTTTCTCTTTGAAGGTCAGAATGAAAATGCCTTAATAAAACATATGCTGGTCAATTCAAAATGTCTAAACCACTTTTACCTGTATTATAGATGATATCCAGATGATGAACATCAGTGTGATGTAAACAATGTCGCTCACTTTGCATTATTTGTTCTATCTGTGTTTTTAAGGCAGCCTGGTTAGTTAGAACAGCTGCTCACGTAGACCAATGGCCCTGAAATGGTAACAGGAGGGTTGGACTGTTATCTTTTATGACAGGGAAAGTACCTTTAACCCTTGGTGCTTGCATTTAGTTCTCTATCAGCGCTGTTAAAATCAAAGGTAGTATCCTACTTTTATGATGACTGACTGGCCAGTGTGAGTGTACACGCTGGCTAGGCAGCTTGTTGAGTTGCAATTAAATTGTCAGATGCTGAGTTGGGACTAAGCTATTTTAATAGTTCTGCTGTGTGTTTGCAACTTTCGAAAGTCAGAGTAGCGTGGCTCAGCAGGTGTTAATTTTTGACATATCCATTGTCCTAAGTGGACACAGAAAAATGCACAAACAAAACCACTGTTCACAGCTGTAGGATCTTTTCTAACGTTAGCACTAGATTTTGCCTTGGATCAGGCACTTAAAAATTCCTTGCATTTGAATCACAGTTTACTAATAAACAGCTATAGAAGATACTTTAGATTTTACATCATGCAACAAGGATATTGTTCTATACTATTTAATTATTTTCTGACAAAATTTTTTCATTTCTGACAAAGTTTTTTAGCTTCTGGATATTTGATTTGTTAGATTTTGTTGGATATAAGAGTATACACACAAATAAGGCTAATACAGGAGTACTGAAATGTGTGCATAACTCTAAGTTATGCAGACTTAGCAACTGCTTTCCATACTGACTATACCCATGGCTGTTTTGCCTTCAGCTTGTGAAGGTGAAGTACTTTTCTTTAAAAAATCAGATTAAAGGTTTCTCAGTGGTATTAGTAAGTTTTTCTTACAAAGTGGGATCTCTTTGGATCTCATAATTTACTTTTCTGGGACAAGACAGTTTTTGTGCAAACAGATCTAAATGAATTTGTAGATGTACCAGAACTCTAGTTTTAGGATCATTGTCTCCCGAATGACTGTTATAATCCTTTTCAGTTGACCCAGAATGCTCTTGTTGAGAGAGGTCAACTTAGACACCTGGATATAATTCAGAAGTAGAAACTCAATGTGGGAGTTGACATTTAAGTTTCTGAATTGGTGAGATGGAGTACTTTAAAACTGCAAGAAACCTCATGATGTTCCTGTAGGAGCTGAAGTGTGTAATTGCTAGATTGCTTGAGTTTGTAATAGTCAGTGGTACATTCCTCCTGTGCTAAACTCTTGGCGATCTTTTCACAAAATATATAAATGATAAAAATAATTCTGTAAAACTGCTCTCTTTTTAAAAATTAGAAGTGTTATAATGAAATAGGAGAAGAACTGGAGTTTTTAGTGTTCTTATTTTATATCCATAGTTTGAGAATTACAAATTTCCATTATAAACTTTTAATGCTTGAAAGGCAGGAGACCTGGAAAAGATGCCAGCCAACTTAAATTCCACTTGGATTTTGTTCCTAAATTCTGTTGTTTTCCCTGTTTCGATGTTTTTAATGCAAAATTCTGGTTCACATGAATAGAAATTCCTTTTTGCTAAAAAAAAAAGACAACTGTCATGTTTGATAAAATCCTGGCGAAATGAATGTCAGTTTCACCTGGAAGTCTTTCTGGCTGACACAGTGGTCTAGAGAACAGAGCAGTAATATTACATAGGGGGACTTGCCCTGTATTGACAGAGCTGCAACTGATCTGCTGTGTTGCCAAGGTCACATACTCGCCTGTCTGTGCTGAAAAATCTCCTCTGTCAATATTGTCCATTCTGGACACAAAATAGAGAAACTTGAAGTGACTATTTCATGTCACACAGGTGCACTCCTTTGAACAGGATAGATCAATACACTCAGATGAGCTCTACAGCTGATAATGTAATGCTATCACTGGTTGACTATTTAGGGCAATCATCACTGTAAATATGAACCACTTGGGTTAAAGACTTACTGAAACAGCCAGTAGGGATTGCCAGAGCAGGGTTAGGTCTGGCAAAGCACAGCCATTCGGGGTTTGTTCTACAGGCTGTGGGTTTTACATGGCTAGAGCCTTCGCCCTGTGGCTCCAGCTTGAGGCAGCAAGATGAGTGGGTTTAAAACAAGGTCTGGTAAAAGACATTGTCCAGGCTTTGGGCTGGTTTGGGGGAGAAACCAGTGTTGGCCTAGGTCTAGACTAGACTAAGTTTATGTTGTTTTTCAATCTCTGGTATCAAGATGAAGGTTTACTCATAGGGCCTGCATGGACCAACAGCTTTACATCAGGGCTGTATAGCATTGGATTGGATAAATGTCTGGAGGCTGTCAGAGGTATTTGGATTAGGATTGAATTTGTATTGAAGTTGTCTCTTGTAGTGCTAGGGCTAAGAAACTTTGGTTAAATGCTGCTGCCAGAAGAGACTGCCTGGCTATTTTTTTTTTTCTGGCAGCGGGGGTACTGCTGGCTGATTTAGAAGTGGTGTGGACTGGGTTCTCTTGAGCAAAGTTACTGCTGAGATTAGGATTTTGGCCGCCAGTTGTCCAAAAAGTTATAAAATAGAGCTCAAAAATGGATGCTGAGTTATGTAGAGCACTAGAGCTAGCCAGCAATTCTTATCTCAGTTATGATCTAGCACTGGCAAAAACTACTGGTGAGAGAAATGCATTTGAGTCCAGGTTAACAAATGAAAATAAGGTTGGAGCTTAGCCTAGACTTCCTGGGACTTGCAAGGGCATGCAGGAGATAATGCATGTACAGGCAGCAAGCTGGCAAAGAGGTTGATGGGCCTTGTCAGGTTAGGGCCAGGACTGTATTAAAAATTCACTTTTGAACCAGGAGGATACAGTGATTTACTTTGTGGGGATGAAATAAGAAATTACTTCAATACTCACTTTAGGACAGAAGCCAAATATGCAAATCTGCTCTAGCAGCAAGGCCCTACTGTTTATGGCTGGCTTATTGTTGGATTTTAGAGTTATGAGGATTGAAGGTGATGATAGTAGGGAACTTCTGTGTAATTTAATTCTGATGCTGGCAAAGGTTTCCAGAGGAGTTTATGCCTTGTATTTGGGAAAAGGCTGCAGGTCATGCAGGAAGTGGTGAAGGAAATCTTGGAAGAACTGTTAGATCAGGGTTAGGATGGTGCTCGTGGGAGTAGAGGAGCTAGAACTAAGGCTAAGCACACAGCAATAGAAAGAGTTAAAGTTTAGTTGTGACTGAGTCAACTTTTGTTATCAAGGTCAAATGACTGAAACACTTTGCTTAATCTAGAAGAGACTATTGGAATATAGTCCCTTCATCATCAAACAGTACTCCGTCTTGAGACGTGTGTTATCCTGAGGTCACTTCTGTAGAGTGCAGATTGGACTTAGCTGGAAGCGCTTCTGTAACATGGTCTGTGTCACTGGCTTTTACCAACCTGTGTTTGCATTCAATACTTCTTTTTAGCAATAGTCATAAAAATCACTCATTCTGATTTCCCAATTTCCAAAAAATATACAATTGTTGCAATAACTTTTAGGTCAACATCAGAAGTAATGATCAGCCTGAAAAGAGACCTACTAATTATCTTGACTATATCTAGTGACAAGTTCAGAAAAATTGTGCTCTTTTTCTCCTATTTTGGCAAATGTGGTAAAATTATGGAAAGCCATGTGGCAGTCTTTTCAAAAACAACATACAGATTCTATTTCATATCTGCCTTATTTTTCTGTTCAATATAAATTATTGCAATTAGGACAAGATCATTCTCCTAATCAATATATTCCATCTATAAGCACGTTGGAACTGCCTTATTACATCAAGCAAAAGGTCTGCTTCACTCTGGTTTCTGTTTCAGAGATGAACTGGTTTCAGATACTGAAAGAAAGAGTGCAAGAAACAGGTCAAGG